CTTTCTCAGTACTAAATGCCAGAGACGTTAAGCCTATCAGAAATTAAAATGTGTTATTTCCGAGTAAATTACGTGATCACGCTGAAAGCACGTTCGTTACCACGCAACATGGATGCACGTGCACACACAGAGTGGAAGTTGGAAGCGACCCGATGGATGCGGTAACTGTAGGGTTGTTATTTATTTATTTTTTGATTTTACGATTCCTGGACAAAATCACTTGCCTGTGATCAAAGATAATGACAGCGGCTGATGTTGGGGAGTATAGCCAAATTCGTGCTAAATGGTTGTTGATGCAGTCAAAAACTCTCCAACCTCTTTGCAACCAGAAGCTTTGGCTTTTTTAGCCAGTGGTGAACAAAGTAACATTGGCCTATTCAGATCCTTTAAAAAAATGTCCCATATGACTGTAACTATTATATATTACATCATTAGATTATTATTCAGCGGCCTAATGCTTTTTTTGTCAGTGCAAACCTCAAAATGATTGAAAATACATTAAAATAATCAAAAGTAAAAGCAGCAAATCTTCATGTTTGTGAAGCTGGAATCATGAAATGTTTTTACATGAAAAATTACTAATACCAAACAGTTGCAAATTCAATTTCTGTCAATAACCCTAACTGATGTAGTTCTACTAGCTGGACTTATATAAACTGTTGCTGTAATTTAATTTATATCAAAACATCCTATTTTTTTAACTCTTCATACATTTTGTGTGTAAAAAGGAGTAAGTAAAAAGTGACATGAAAAGTTCGGTACAAATACCTCGTGTACTTAAGTAGCTACAGTACTACTTTATTACTGTCCACCACTGGGCTTAGCTTTGGCTACTTGAAACTAAGGAAAGGACTAGAGATGTTTTTCTATATTTTGGCTCTGGACAGAAAGCTATCATCCATCATGATGGTGAAAATAGCTGGCCTTGAGGCACAGGGCTTTAAGTTGGAGACCCTACCCTGTCATCAAGGCATTAAATTGTGCAACAAACACACAACACAAAACACCATTCATAAGCTGAAATGTGTAGCCTACTGACATACACAGCTTGGCATACATGCGTGAGTAGGGCAATAGGGCAAGTTCTGCCATCCTACTGTAGGCCTATGTGTACAATATACATTGAGCACTGCTGTTCAGTGGGCTTGTTTGGGTCCAAGTTTCTTTTTATTTATACATTTGTATTTTTGAAATATAAGTATATATATTTAAATAGTATTTTATCATATATTTGTTTGGGTCAATTACGAACTATAGGTAAAATATAACTGCTAGTAAATACTTGAAAGAATTGGCTAGGGCTGAGGGGCCACTGCTGCAAAATGAGTGGTTCCTCTTCTAACACACATATCTCACGCCAAACTTTTGATAAAACTTGAGAGCCCTGATTTTAGAGCTCTATATTCATGAGTCAGTGGTGCAAAGTCCTACTACCCAACATGCAACCTTATGAAAATAGAGCCCTTAATCTTAAAGGACAGACTCAGTCATGGGTTTGATGGCTGCCATCTGTGGGAAATGAAAATCTTCCATCATATTAATTAAGACTTTTGTGCTTTCATTTTTATCTGAAGTCCACATTAGCTGGGAGAGACAGAGTATAATGTAAAAATAATGGGAATCAATAGGAGAAAGGATATGTCAATTTGAGATGAATATCTGATGCACAGGGCGGCATGGTGGTGCAGTGGTTAGCGCTGTAGCCTCACACCAAGAAGGATGCGGTTTCAAACCCTGGTTTCCCGGGCCGGATGTTGCATGTTCTCCCCGTGAGTGGGTTCTCTCCGGGTGCTTCCTCCCATCGTCCAAAGACATGCAGACGCTAGGTTAATTAGTGACCCTAAAATTGTCCTTAGTTGTGAGTGTGACTTGTTGTTTGTCTATGTGTGGCCCTGCGACGGATTGGCAGTGTACTCCGCCTTTCACCCGATGTCAGCTGGGATTGGCTCCAGCCCCCCGCGTCCCTGTACGCAAGATAAGCAGTTGACGATGGATGGGATGCACAGTATATGATGTATATGCATAGAGCGGTTGATAAAGCGGTTGAAAATCAAGGGCAACTGGACTTGGTTGAGGTTGCTCAAAGATATTTCGCCTCTCATTCAAGAGGCTTCTTAAGTTCTGGCTGACTGGCAGAGAGTCCCAGCTATTTAACCTCTCTGGGGTGGTTATCAAGGTGATGGATAATGCTTGGTTAGTGCTCCTGGATGTTGTAACGATAGTCGTTATGGTCATTGGTTACCTGAGATCGAATCCATTGTCTCATGAGGCCAAGCGTAAGCGTTTGGAAAGGATGAAGGGATAATATTGTAAGTGGGGGATAAGTGGTGTCATAGACCTCTCCGATTGAGAGGTGCTTTCTCTATTCTGGAAGATAGCTTTTTTCACTCCTCTTTCAAACCATATTTTGTCCCTGACCATAATAAGAACATTGTTTTTCTTCAAAGAGTGTCCCTTGTCATTCAAATGTAAGTAAACTTTCAAATCTTGACCTGTGTTGTTGTGTTGACCTTCTTTGTTGAGCCATGCATGTGTAGTTTGTTGTTAAGTTTATAATACACAGGTCTGTGCAATCCTCACAAATATGTGGACATCTTTTTTGGGGAAATTGTAATTGACCCTTCACTAAGCCACGCCCCGAACACACAGCTGGCCAATCACAGCGTAGTATAGAACTCGCTCTAACTGGGGTCCAACACTTTCATGGCTACGCTCCATTTACTTGTAAGGAAAATGGTAGCTAACGCTAGCTAACTTACTACTGAAAGTAACGTTATATAACCCTACTGTTCTGCTTTTTAATGATTGTAACTGTGACTAGAGACCTAGCCAACTGTACAGGAACAGTGTTTGTCCTTAATATCGTTGTCCTCTTTCTCATTAGTCAGGTAACGTGGTGGTTCACTTTTACACTGTAATCGGTTAGGCTTTAGCTTTTATCCTTTTTTTTTTTTTTATTCTACGTCTGTTTGACAGCCTGAATACAACCTTCAAATGCGCAATGTAACTGCAAAACTGTCTGCTTCTTTCTGAAATCGTTTTTTCCAAAAATTTGACAATATGTATCCAGGAAGTGAGTAATAGACAGTGGTAGCGCCGTGATAAAAGTCCAACAGGTTGGGCAGTTTGTCAGACTTAGCAACAGTAACTAAGGGGGGCATACTCTGGACACTGCAGAGGTACCCAATTGGGTATATATACCCCTCTTTTAAGAATTACTGCAGTATTGTCAAAACAGGACAAAACAAAGTCCTGACAAAGTGCACTTTCTTATATTGTCTATAATAACTCCAGTGATAGGTTTTTTAATACCTAAATTAAACAATTAGTTGCTATCATCATGACCCATGTGCATTTATGAAGTAACCTCCCGGAAGACAATGATAATACTACAATCCACAAATTAAACGTTTAACTCTGACCGTCAGCAGTGACTCTGATCGTCCAAAAGATTTGGAAAACTAAGTACTCTTTTAATTGTTTGATGGGAAAAATACAAGTTTGCTGTGCAACAGCTCCCAGTTGTTAATCCCCAGTCATTTAGTTTCCAGTCAATTTAATTTTACCATTTTCTTAGCATTGCTTGTTTTTTCCAACACCTGCAGACCCACGCTCCTTTAAACAGCTGAAACATAATTCATGTGCATGGGAACGTCAAAGAAAAAGGCATGCCAGTGTAAAAATGTCCAACCCAGGTTGGGCATTGATCATTATGAAAATAAATGCTTGTCAAACCTGACTGCACTATACAAAATTCTCTCAGTATGTGTGTGACAAAGACAGGCAGAAAGAGAGAACTATGTGTGTGTAATGTGTGTGTTTGTGTCTGCTGCTGGCAAATACCAAAACACAAACAAAAAGTGTACTTGGTGCCAAAACTAAACAGGATTTCCTTTCAAACAAGCGCACAGCTGAGTTTCTGCAATGACGTCTGAGACAGCTTTTTCCACCACTATCATTAAGATGGAGGACACAGATAATCAGTCTCAGTGATTATGTTAGTAGTGACTGGCAGTGACCTCACTCTCCCTAAGAGAGGACTCATCCAAAACAATGCCAGGATTCTTGACGCTCATTTAGAGCCATTCTGACTGAACAGTGTGCTTTTTTGTGTGTGTTCTGCCATGTTCTGGCATCATATTTCTTAGAGCCAGAACTTGAAAGTTCATTTGTGACTTCTTTTTTGTTTTTCAGAAAGACCTTGACATGTGTGCCAATAAGAGGACTTTCAATCAAGCTTTTGTAGAGCCTACAGACTAAAGTGCACTAGTGTTTGACCGTGTTTATTGCGTAGTGCTAAAATGATGAATTAATTAATTGTTGAATCAATCAACAGCAAATAAATCTAGTATTTTTTATTATCTATAGTTTTTCAAGGAAAAATGCCAGAAAGTGCCTAGTTACAACTTCTTCAATGTGAGGATTTGCTGCTGTTTTTCAGTTTTACATTGTAAATTGAATACTTGAAAATTGTAACTGTATTGTTATATACCAAACAATGAATCGAGAAAATAATTGACAGATTGATTAATCATGAATATATCATGAATATTGTTAGTTGCAGCCCTACCATTGAGTTAACCCATTTTCTATGATTTCAAAGTTTGCAACTAAGTGTACATTTTCAAGAATTAGACTGAGCCACAACAACAAAATTGTTTCAGATGATCTCTTAAACCTGAAATGTGGCCATAACTCCTGTTGTATCACATTGTCATGTGGCGCCGTGATGCTTACTGGTGTCAATTGCTGCACAGCTTTATGTCGCACCATGCTGAAAAGCATCCTGTTATGCTGTCAAGGCCAACTCTTCATGAAACACTGACATTTTGATGCTGTAAAAGAATATTTTTAGCGGAAGGCCACTGCCCCTCTCTCTTGTCTGTCTGCAGACAAAAAAAAATACCATTTTTGTCTCACTTCCCCTGAGGTGGCTCCCTCATTTTGCTCTCACCGCTGTACTGTATTTATCACCTCTCTCTTTTGTCTCTCACTCCTAGGCTATTCTTCCTGTCTTCTCTTCGGCCAGAGTCTTCCAAATTGTTGTCATGTGAAAATGATGTGATATGGATTTGACGGTAAGGGGACTTTTTTTGTAAACTGTATCTCAGGCTACATTTTTCTCTCAGGCTGCATCTAAAATCCCACCTCATTTGCCAAGACTGGCAAAGCCAAACCCCAAGTGTGGCCACAACTCTACACTTAAGTGTCTGTATCCTGATATCAAACATAACATATTGATTGGTGGAGCTTGCTGGGGGCAATACACAGTATGGGAGAACTTGCGACTTGAAAAGCTCAAGTCAGAACAACCTGACTTTACAGGATCCATTTCTTTTGGTAGAAGCAGGCAAGTGCTCACACATGAAATCACCTAAATGTTGAAAAGGACAGGGATTGATGGAAAACCAATATCTTTGTCAGTCCCTCCAGGAATTTGCCATCATGTAAATGCAAGAATTAATACAAATTCAACCAATCCTCGTATTATTTGGGGGAGCTTGCAATTTGGTCTCATCCTTGCATTACATCCGCAGAAAATGTGAAAGTGGATGACTGCTTGCACATTTTTACTATCAAAACACTTTCCACATAAAAGGGTCCAACACACAGTTTAGAAATTAAACTTGTATTATTGATCTAGTGTATTATTAATTTGTATTACTGAGCCTTATCTCTGTATACTGTTATTGCAATTTAACAGACTATAACAGTGATTTTGCTTTTCTATAAATCACAGATACTGTTCATTCCATTACAGCAAACCATTTTCCAAAATGTGTTTTTCCTTCTCCCCAGGCAGTTTCCATTCATACCAGTGACAAACAGCTTACAAAGAATTAAATATTAAGTGTGTGATAGATTGTCTATCTTAATGAACATTATGTCTGCTTTCATTGTTGTCAGAGTCATGTTATCCCTTTGTTGTAAGACAGTTGAAAGTGCAGATTGATTTGGAAAGCCACAGACACAATGCTTGCTGTGATGAATCACCAAAATCAAGCCTGTATCAAGCCTGTGATTTTCATAATGCTCTGAAATGAAAAGAAACCAAATGGTGCCGGGATGATAGGAAAGACACAATGAAAAATCCCAAACTCTGTTGCATGCTTTGGAAATAGTTGGCGCTAATTTAAAGTAAATAAGATAAATAATGCTATATCACTGTTACGGTGCTTTAAGAATAAAAGCAGCTGGACTAAAACAATTCAAGCTTTTATCTAACCGGAACTAATTAAGTCAAATTATTCATGCTGACTTTCAAGTGACTTTGTAAACATTTGTGCTTGTTTAATAGCAAAAACAAAACACTGCACAACGCACCACAATTATTGAAGCAAAGGAACACTGGAAATGTCAGCTACCAAAACACTGGAAACACTCGGGGTGGTGGTGGGGGGGTACATAGTTTTATGGATGAGTGCACATTAGCTGGTAATTACTCATGAGTATGACTTAGGAGACCATGCAGTGTAAATTTAAATTATACTAAGCATATTTACTCCCTACAGGGTTCCACACACAGATCACTAATTTAACTGGGTAATGCACACTCATCAGGTAGTTGCATGTTCTCCACTGGAGACCATTACCTCATATTCTGTGGCAGCAGAATTCCTCATTGCATTCTTGTGCAGAGACATACATTAAACTAGCCCTCAGGGACAGGGACAGTGGCCGTTTAAGACTGTAAACATACTTCTGCTCATGTAGACAATGACATCATTTGTACCATGCAGAGTTTTTATTAAGCAGAGCGCTGACGTACACTTCAAAAGATCGTGACAGGAAGCACAGGCCGGTGGGGTGGTGGCAGGCTAAAGAATATACAAAGGAAAAAGACAGACACTCTGCCGCCCGTGGAAAGGGGAATGTTTTATCCCGTAAGAGTTGGCTTATCTCCCTGTGGGCACTTGTTGCCATAGCAACGGGAGCTGGGAGTATCGTCAGGTTGGTAGGGGATCACGGGACATGTAATAGGTCAGCAAGGGGCGTGCAACCTTGCTGTCACCATCGGTAACCCTGTTTCCTTCACACTTCAGCTCACGCCTCTTCATTCTTGTCTCTGGGCCAGAGGGACCCCCACCTGCCCTTCATGCATTCCTTTACCTGGGTCACATATGGATTTTCATCCCAAGCCGAGAAAAAAATCAAGCAGCTCACAATGTGTGGAATTATTTAAGTCAATAATTATTATAGAGAATGTTCTTAAGTGTCTCCTGGAGCACATACTCAGATACTGACCTACTTTCATTTATTTTAAGTTGAACTGCATTCATGTGCACAAACACTTTCACCCAGCATTATCTCAACAACATTATCTCATATCATCTCACCTTTTTATGTATTTATTCTTCTATCCAAAGACACATTTCCTCTTATTTTCCATTTCCAGCCTCACATAAACACACATTTTTCATCCTGACACACTCTCTTATAACACACTAGGTCTCAAATGTGCGTAGTACACCATCTGTTCTTTCCTTTCTCAGTCTCCTCCTAGGCTGACTATTCAAATTGCCAGTCTGATAGACCACCTACTCTGGCACTGTGCATCCTTCATACCTGGAGCTTTGACACATAAAAGAGCAGAGGCAGTGAACCTTGACACTCAGCTCACTAGGGGTCTCACAAGACACTTAACTGGAGTGTTGTGAAAACATGGAGTGGTGATGGGTAGTGTTTCATCATTGCCGCTGTGTTCCCCATTCATACAGTGACAGTGTGATCCCTCGCCCTGTTATGATGTAGGACTGATATCTTAGAGCTAGAAAGATCCCTAATCCTCCACACCAAGGGGACAGATTTCTGTGTGTGTGTGTGTGTGTGTGTGTGTGTGTGTAAGAGAACAGGTGACATTATCTGTCACTTGGGAAACTCATGTGAGCGCTTTGGGTGTTTTTCCAGTTTTCTGTGGAGACTCACTCTTGACAGTGGCAGTCCTGGTGCAGTTGTAGAGAATAGCCAGCTCTCCAAACACCTTTCCTGGCCCCATGGTGCAGAGCTTCAGGCTCTCCTTCGTCACCTCCACCTTCCCGTCTGAAAGATGCACAGAAACACAGATACGTCATTAAGCATGATGCTATTCAAATTGCACATTAATTTTTCTGCCTGATCACCGACATGTGAGTCCTCTGCTGCATTCAGTATGTGCAGCAAACAAAGTTTCAGTGATGAAATGGAGTGGATGATGGGTGTCTGATGGCTTTTGCTTCATTTTTGAGGGCACCCAGCCAGAGTGCTCTTGATTCACTGGGCTGGAAAAAAAATAAGATTATTTTGCCCTGTGTTGCAAATGGAGTTTCCAAGGGCTACTGGCCTCCTACTAAGGCCGGTCTGTGGTCCTGTTAAATAGCAATGCAGCAGTACCAACGTGAGAAAAATCTACTTAAAGCTTAACATTCCATAACTCACAGACACAACAGGGTATGCCTTGAAGTTGAAGTCAGTATACTGTATGTAAAGATATGTGTATGTTATCGGGACTGAGGCATTCACAAAGCATACTCTAAAGTAATATTATTGTATATGTTTGGATTCAAATAGTCACCATCCATACCCATTTCCAAAGTAAACATATTTTTGCATTAAAAAAGCATTACCTACTACCTCTGTTATGTGAGGAGGAATAATTAAGGATAACTAAATGCCTTTGACATCATTAATCTAATATATTCCAATAGCACTAGGCTTTTACCACAACCAGCAAAAAATAAATAAAAAAACAACATAGTTGCTGTGGACATGCAAGTAAACGTCTTAGCGAACCTACACAGCAAGCAAGCTGATTGGTTGATCTAACATCCTGTAGGGAAATTTTCTCAATTTTTTCTTTCAGGGTTTGGGCGTACAGTTTGCTATAGTACTGCCATAATTGATCTTCTTCATTGCCCTTAATATTGTCGCCCCTTCTCCCATCCATTTACGTTGATAAATACAAATTCCTTAATGTCTGTTTCACGGACGAGGTGGTTTGTTTACACTGTCATCAGGGTAAAACTGTTTTCCATTTCCTGATTTCTTCTGTGTTTTCTTTACATTGTGGTTCACTAAACGACACTGCTTCTTAGTACGTGTGTTACTTTAAGTTATGCCCCCCATCTGCACAAGCATAAAACAAACGTGCAGTCCTGAGAAGTATAACTTCAGCTTTAAGCAAGTGAATTCGTGTTTTTTTTTTTAACACTGTAAGAGGTTCACTGCCCCTGTGACTGGGGGGATGGCTGCTGCTACTGTGTTTAGACAAGCCTCATCAAGCATGTATGCTTTCCTGGCAACGTTCCAGTGAGACCATAACTCTAATTCACAGAGAGCAAAAACCCCAAAGAAAACAGTTAAAGTCGGCTCCTGATGAAAAATGAAAAGAGCAAGTGAGTCTGTAATATTATTTACAGAAACCCAACGATTCCCACCATGAGCAAGAACTAGGCAACAGAGGCAAGGAAAAACTTCCTTTTAAGAGGCAGAAACCTCGAGCAGAACCATGGCTCAGGGTGGGCGGCCATCTGCCTCGACCGGTTGGGGTGAGAGAGAGAGAGAGAGAGAGAATAGCCATAAAGAGGGAGGGATGGAGGGGAAGGGGGGGAGAAGCCTACACAATATACACACAGAAGTACAGACAGTAAAGGTAATGTTGGTACAGACTGAATGAATAATGGTACAGATATTTATTAATGTTAATTATAATCGTAATGTTAATGATAATAATCGTAATGTTAATTATAATAATAATAATAACAATAAATATAAAATATAAAACTTCTTTAAGCAACCTAGTCGGGATGGGGTCTAAGAGGCTAAGTTGATGGTTTAGATGAAGAAATTATCAAAGTTAGTTGGTAAAGATTGAGGGAAGCAAAACAGTCTAAACATATATCTGGTTTTACAGTTGTTTCTAAGGTTCCTGAGTTTAGAGATAAGTCGGTGCCAGTTGAGAGTAGGTCTTGGTGAATTTTGTTTCTAATTGTAAAAGTTTTATCATTAAAGAAGTTCATGAGGTCATTACTGTTGAGAGCTATGGGAATACTTGGCTCAATAGAGCTGTGACTCTCTGTCAGCCTGGCTACAGTGCTGAAAAGAAACCTGGGGTTGTTCCTTTTTTCCTCTATTAATGATGAGTAGTACGCTGCTCTGGCATTACGGAGGGCCTTCCTATATGTTTTAAGACTATCTTGCCAAATTAAACAAGAATTTTCCAGTTTGGCGATATTTGCTTTAATTTGAGGGTTTCAGTGTTATACCATGGAGCTCACCGTCTTTGAGAGTGTCAACAGAGTCGAGTGTCATTCGCAGCGAGCCTGCAGCACTATTAACAAGATGATCGATTTCGGAGGGGCTGAAATTAGCATAGGAGTCCTCCATTACTTTGTGACTTGATAATGAATTAAGAACTGATGGAATCACATCCTGGAATGGCGACCTGTCCAGGGTGTACCCCGCCTTTCGCCCGATGTCAACTGGGATTGGCTCCAGCCCCCCGCAAGGATAAGCGGTTGACGATAGATGGATGGATGGATGGATGGAATCACATCCTTAAATTTAGCTACAGCACTATCAGACAGACAACTTGTATAGAAATGTTTGCTTAATGGTGTGTAGTTCCGCAAGAGAAACTCAAAAGTTATTAGATAGTGGTCAGATAAAAAGGGATTCTGTGGGAACACTATTAAAGTTCAATTTGAATACAATATACCAGAACAAGGTCGAGGGTGTGGTTAAAACCGTGAGTCAGTTTATGAACACTTTGAGAGAAACCAATTGAATCTAATAGAGAGATAAATGCTGTACTATGGCTATCATTCTCAATGTCCACATGAATATTAAAATCCTCTACAATAATAACTTTATCTGTTTTAAAAGTTTTTATCTGTTTTTAAAGTTGACAAATACTCAAATTCAGATAAGAATTCAGAGTACGGACCAGGTGCTCGGTACACTATAACAAATTGAATTGGTTGCACTGATTTCCAGCTTGGGAGTGAAAGGCTAAGAACAAGTCTTTCAAATGAGTTATAATTTAGTTTAGGTTTAGAGCTGATTAGTAGGCTTGAGTTGAAGATAGCTGTAACTCCACCTCCTCGGCCTTTGCCTCGAGGAATGTGAGTATTAATATGACTGGGAGGAGTGGATTTATTTAGGCTAACATGCTAACAGGTTTCAGTAAGACAAAATAAATTAATATAATCTGACATTGATTCATTTACTAGAACACCTTTAGAAGTGAGAGATCTAATGTTTAAGAGTCCGCTTTTAATTCTCCTATTCTTTTGCAGTATTGCACTTGTAGTTTTAATTTTTGTGAGGTTTTTATGCACAGCTCCTCTTCTGCTGATCTAGAGTGCCCATTTTCAGCCATGGTAAACAATACATTATCCATTAACACCCAGCAAGAAACTATGCATGCAGAGAAAGTCTTCAGTTCTTACAGCGTGTCATCATTTTACTACTTCCCTGCTGTTTTCACTACCCTTCTTTAACAGCCCTTTTCTTGTGTCAGAGCTTCCTGTAACACTGACCTCTTGTTCCACTCAAATGAAACTGGCGATTTAAAAAAAACTAGATGTCTTGCCATTAAAAAGCTTCATTCGTATTTTTAACAATGCAGTGTTTGTGCATCTTTCACTATTATCAGTTCAAGAAGATTAATTGAAAAACATACACACTATAGATCTCTTTCAAATCTCTCACTCAAATGCGTTTTTAAATGGCACATAATCACAATGCTCACTTTCAGAAATGTGTTATGTCTGAATCTTATAAAGATGGTAACTGTGCTTTCGAATGCATGCATTTATTTATTTATTTATGTTTGAAGAGGACCATGTACAGTTACATTAAAGATAAATGTTACAACTGTGTACCAGATTTAGCTCGAAGCTAATTTTCAACTGCAGTCCCTGATGAAAATAAAATAGACAACTTCCTGTGCACCTCAGGATTTCTCCCAGGAGAGAGGGAACTCCTGATGCTTGTTTACAAGAGCAACTGTAAACTGTTTCATGAACTGAGTATAGCTGAAGGTTTTTTTGGAGTGCAATGTCTATAAAGACTATAATTTGTGAGATCAATTCACTGCAAGATTTAAGTCTGGATAACAGCCATTGAGAATTGATCAAGCCTGAAAAATATGTAACAGACTAATCAGTAAACTGTGAGGGGTGTCGAGATGATGATGTGACTCGTCAAAATTGACAATTTTCATAACAGCTGCCATGTTTTTCCAGTTCAGAAATTGTAAGCAAAGACAAAAGACAACGCTGCGTGTTTGTTGCCTTTATCTAATCAGGTGTATAAAGAGTTCATGTTGATGTCTGAGAGAAGGAGGATATTGCCTATCATTAATTGTGCACCCTAAAAGCACAGATGCTCACAAGTCTTTGCGCTAGAGTCCAAGTCAAGTCTTAAGTCACTGAGTTAATCCAAGTCAAGTCTCAAGTATCTCATGGTTATAATGAATGTTGTATCACCTTCTGCGTTCAAACCAGGCTGCTTACAAACTGCTTTGTTATAAGGGATTCTGTAACTGTAACCTGTTTTTTCATTTACAAAGAACAACCAATGCAGTGCAATGCAATTAATGACAGCTTATTAACTGCTGTAAGTCAACACCAACCGCAGGCTCTCAAACCCAGTGTAATGTTAACTAAATAAAACTGTAACGTTACATGATCAACAATAAACCTGTAACCTTTTTTTCACAGAGCACAACCATGTAATGTGCAATGCAATCGATGATTATAAACTGCTGTAATTCAAAACACCCTCAGACTCTCAAACCAGTGTAAAGTTATGGCCTAACTAAATAAAACTGTAATATTACATGAACAACAATAAACCTGTAGCCTGTTTGCAGCCACCGTTAATAATTAATCTGATGGCAGCCAGTGGGACGGAAATGATTACATTAATCGACCACCACAAGTTTGGCAAGAAAACAAATGCTCATTTATCTTTTCATAACACAGTCGGAGTTAACCTCTAGGTTAGCTAAAGGAAGAAGCAAGCTAACATTAGATGGCCAGTGCTGAGCTAAACATGTTCACGGGTTACTAACCTATTTTGCGTTTAGCGCTTCTTTGTTTGGGCCTTGTTGTTTATCACGAATGGCACAGCAGCTGCCGGAGTTTGTTGTACTCTCTCACGTGTGGTCGCGCACAGCACATCCATAGTACGCATTGCATAGGTAGGTTATGGGTAATGCAGGGATGGGAATAACAGCAAGCTCATCAGACGTTTCCTAAAAATAAAAATTGCTGACGAGTCACGGACCTCGAGTCCGAGTCAAGTCAGAGGCCTTTTGATGACGAGTCTCAAGTCAAGTCTGAAGTCATTGGTTGTGCGACTTAAGTTGGACTCAAATCCGAGTGTCAAACTCGAGTCCCCATCTCTGCCTAAAAGTGCCTGTTAAACCTTGCCATATCACAATAAGCTAAGCAATAATAGTTGGCTGTTGATGGGAGGCTTTGAGCCATTAAAATGAGTAGCCTGACTTTTAGTTTCAGGAGGAAGACACAGGAAGTGCAAACAAATAAAGTCTCTAAAGTGATGTGTAGATAGAAATAGATGCAATGTGTATCAATACAAATAATTGCTGCCCTATTCAAAAGGACACAAGACACAGACCTTCATTAAGTGCAGTGAAGGCTGGTCTGTGGTGTAATAAAAGCAGTGTTTTGTGGTTTGGTTCATGTAGGGGCTAAGACAACAACACATCGGGTAGCAAAAACGTTGAGCTTGACTATGGCAAAGCTAATAACTTCCTGTGGATAGCCAAATAATTAATTCCTGAGAGAAGTGAGCTGTCAGAGCATCGTGCTTGATTTGGACAACTCACCGACTGCAGGCTGTTAGGGAACTTCTAGGAAATTAAATAATCCAATTATTCAATTATTTGAACTGATGAACTGTTATTCAGAAGTTTACATGAATCCATACACACGCAGCAGCACATGGTCCAGCTCATTTCAAATTTTTGTGCCTAATAAGACCTGCATTATCACACTTCTTTATAACAGTAGCTCCAAATTCACTTGAAATGCACCTCTCATATGCAAGTGCAAGTACAAGTTTTATTCAAATAACAACACAACAGGTAAATACACGCTCTCTCATTGGGCAGCCAATCTGATATCAAAGTACAGCACATTTACATCTTACTGAGCCATTTAACAACAGCTGTATACTGTCTTGTCTAAAGGCAAATTATGCCTAAAATACGATATGTATAATGTTAACTGGGGTTTCATTGTCTGTGTATCACAGCATGTCTTCCCCTGAGGCTGTGTAGTGTTGTTAATGGATGATCATTTGAATGCACACAGCAGTGCGCTCCACATAGCAGGGCATCAGGACAGACCTCAGAGCAGACTTCCCTCTGGCTCAAGATCAGATGTGATATTGGCTGCATTCCAAATCAAAAAGCTGCCGTCTTCTGGGTCGACTTTATCTCACACTAGTGCTGAAGACTTGAATGTGCTCCTACTAACCCCCTAACAGGAGTGATTTAAATAGATCTGAAGGATATCTGACCAAATTAGATCAGTTACCCGTCTTTCAGACAAACCCTGATGGGTACGATTAACAAGATTAGACTAAAGATAAAGGCATTTTTGTGATGAGAAATAAATTTGGAGAAAGGGACATCTGTTAACTTGACACTGAGGCCATTAGGCTGTGTGTATAAATAGAGTTTCAGGGGTCAGGCGCAGGATACTGGTGAATTCTTCCTCCTCTTCTTCCATTGATAGTTTTGATGTTTTTCAAGCAGCAATGGACATTGTGAAACAGGATGTGGGGGAGTTCAAATCCACTAGAGGATAACATACAACCACCATCACATCATGATGGCCTTGTTCTTCCGCCACTGCTCAGGGGTCAGATTACCCAATCTTATTACTATCCACTGGAGAAAGGGAGGAACATTTGGTAGTAGATCAAGCAGAACATTGTTTCATCCTGCTCCCACTGGCCAAAAAATAGGGGTCGTTACCACTTAAGGTTTTAGGTGGTACAAGGCCCAAGTTGATACTTCTGACTTCAGGTCAGCAGTGATATGTCTGGGAGAAAGGCAGTCACGATCTGTCTGACAGTTTGAATGGTTTTGTGGAGGAAAAGCCATGGGAGAAACAAGACAGAGCGTGGGATCTATTCAACAGAGACTGAAATGGGTTTAGAAAATTCCAGGGTTAAAAAATCTCCATCTGCTTTTTGTTTCTTAACAAAAAGCTGTAACTTGAAAGATCTCGTAAATTGCAGTCAAAAGTTTGACTGATATAGCCCAGAAATTATGGCTTATTGGCCTTTTAAAAGTACATCAGCTCTGAGCAGTTATTTCTGTTTCCACCTTGTTTTTGAAAGAACACAATGTGACCTCTCAAAAAACACTTTCAGCTGAACAAATATTCACAGCTGCCCAGCTGTGAAAAATAGAGACACATGAATCAACACAGTGAGCAGAAAATGAAAAATAGAATAAATAGATCTCAAGATTAATGCAGCGCTCTACTTCATATTCAGTAAGAAGATATTTAAAGTGTTAGATGTCAAAACTTTTGTCCTTGGGTTTGAGGCTAATTTATGGCAGACCTTTATTAAATTAATCAACGTGTTTTTTTTTTAAAGGTCATTCCTGCTGATCACAGAACTGTGACCACGTTAAGTCACGAGGACTTGTTTTTCTGCTGCAGTTTTCAGGCACAAATGCGTTATTTTTCTCTTCAGTGAAGAACAAAATAAGACGGAAAACATGGATGTGGGCTGAAGCCAATGGCAAGAACAAAGAGAGATAAAGTGGGAAGTTATGTTATTAATTAGGGAGGAAGGCTTAGAATGGGAGAGACTTATTAAGCGCCCGGGCACTGGAAATGACAAACACTAAGTGTTTTTATTTCAGAGAATCCCTGTTTGTGTAACTGCGGGCTGAAAGCATACAAGCAGCAGGATAATGAATGTGATGTGAATGAAAGATGTGTTGTCTTGTGGAATGAAAACGTTAAGATATGTTCAGACCTGCAGCTGCCACCCGTCGTTGCTGGTGTTGTGAGTTTTGAATGGGCAGCAGCAGGTGCATCTCTGCCGTCATGGTTAACAGCTACATCTAATCCTACTAACAACCTGTACCATGCGATTATCCGATCATGGCCACTGAACTGTGACATTAGTTAGCTAGTTGTGTTATAATGCTTACCACTGTCTATACTTTAAGCTACAACCTGCTCTGTTTAGCTGTGTGATGGTGTGATTAGAGTAGGTTTGACAGTTTGATGTTTGCCCAGAGTCCACCATCCTCGTTCCACAGAGCAGCACGCCTGCATCATCTCCAACATATATGCTTGTTGACTGTTATCAGCTTTCAACAAACTGTCTGTGCAGCCGTCTGCTACTTCAAGAATCTTACCAATTGAAGGTGGGAGGAGGGAGACTGCAGTTTCTGTACTGTGTTGCTGAAATCCACTTATGCTGAAGTTGTAAGATGTGGTACCAAAATATTTCAACTTCTGCCCACATTCAAGCATGCAAGTGATTGGCCCTGATTCAGGGCGTGTATTGTTCTCTGGTGTAATCATGTCCATTGTTTTCTCTCAAAAACTCCTTCTACTCAAACCTTTGCTGACTGACTAGTGTAGCACGAGGTCCAGCTGTAATGCTGGAGTGCACTCAGTTCACTTTCATTCTGTGTGTGAGTCTTGTCATGAAACACCGGTGCCACTGTTCCATTTTAAATTGACAAGAACAGACATATTTGTATATATGCACTCATCTGCGGGCTGGATCTTTGCACAAACTGGCTGACGTCAATCTGTCTTCTTAAACGTGTGCCAATTTTATTGCAGGGGCAACAAAAAGGAAAAGAAAAAGAGAGCTGTGAGAAGGCGAGAGAAGTGGGGTGAGAAATGTAAGAAGGCAGCGACTAAGAGAGGATAAAAGAAACAGAAAGACAGCAGGAGAGAAAGAAGAGGAAGGACACCTGATGCTATAGGTGAGCACTGCTGAACATCCTATCATTTGAAATGAGAGCACTTCCAATCTTTTTCAGTTCAACTGAGACACCCTCCCTGCCATCTCCACGGTGGAATTTACGCTACAGTTTTGTACAAGTGGTTGGTGAGACCTAAAGACACTCAATAGTGTGTTGTCAACAGGATATGAAAGGGCAGCGGGTTTCATCCTTTTTACATCATATTACCTTGGAGACAGGAATTCTGCAAGAACATAGTGTAGACCATACGTCTACTTTCAGAGCCTTTCAGCCTCGCACTGAAGGTTACTTCCATCCAGTGGGAGGAATAGGACATGTGAAATGAGACACAGCAGTTAAATTTTCTTATCTAGAACCCTCTCCTATCTCTGTTTTCATTAAAACATTATAATAGGCCGAGTTTCATCCTAGCTACTCTCCCAGTCATCAAACTCCGATTATGGCGCCTGTGTTGACAAGCTGATTGATGGCACGAGCAGGGACCAGTGAAAATGATCATTTTGTATTCACAGACCAAATCACAGTGTTGTAATTAGCAGTTAGTTAGCGTCCATGCGATGTGCACATACTGTAGCTTTTCTTTTCTGCGGACCAGACTTAATTAGACAGCTTCAAAATTTGAATACAGATTAATATGGCATCTAAAGTACTACAATAATGGGCCTCTCTAATTTCCGCAGCCTGCTCTAATTTCATTCGCCACTGCATCACCACAGACATGAGAAGGTATTTACACGGAAATTTGGATTTGAGTGTTGGGGACACAAGTTACACAAACGTAAAGATGCAGTATTTACATGCTTAAAAGTACACATATACAGAGCAAGACAAAGAGTCTACAGTGACACTAGCAGCTCTGTGAGGCTGTACTTGAGCACCGCTGTGAGCTAAATGCTAGGTATAATGTTGACCATGTTCTGCATCTTAGTTTAGCATGTTAGCGTGCTAAATTAGCACTAAACACAAAGTAAAATCAGAACTGATGGGAATGTCATAGGTTTTGTAGCTATTCGGGCATAAACCAAAGTGTTAGACAAATTCAATGATTAAGGGATTAAGTTAGTATAGTTCATGTGAAGTGGGAAAACCGGATTTTTTGTACTTTCAGGGCAGCCTTTGCTGACGTATTTAAATCTGAACCAAAGGGATGGACAAACAGTCATATCGCCATCTATAGTCATGTTCTGGACTGTCATTGTGGGCTAAAAACTTGTATTTCTAACTTTCCCAATTGCTTAAAGATCACATGCTCCTCAGTGGTGCTAAGGATTGTTTAAAGAGTCTTTGTCCTTTATTGTGTCTTTTTTGTGCATTTAATAGGTTTGGAAAGTGAAAAAGCCCAAAGTCCACCTCAAAGGAAGTAATCAGCTCCCACAGAAAACACTGAACTGCCTGAAAACAGCTCCTTTACTTCCATAAACTATCTGCGTCACTTTGTAATACACGTCATAATGCTCGCCTAGCAGCTAGTCAGTCATGCCTTCGAAAACACTGGTAGAGAAACACACTGAGCTGCAGCACTCACAGTGACGAGACGTCCACCGGATGCCTCCCCTCACCCCCACCCTCCCTACCAAACATTAGATACCCTCTAGGCAGTCAATGGACATGATGTTGTTACTGTGATGTAGTGACAGAGCACAGTTAAAACGTTACGTATGAATGATCCATTTCTTACAAATTAATAACTTGCCACTCTGAAACATTTTTTTCCCAGTCGTGGTTGCGATGCTGGTTCGGGAACATGTACAGCTGAACCAAAGCCAAGGTTACCGTCTTGTCAGGACCCACCCTACTCTGCTTCTGATTGGCTAGTAGTCCTTAACTGGGTTCTGTGCATGTGCAACTCCAAACAAAGATCAATAGAAGTGAGATGCTTCGCTCTATAGCTAAAACGGAGCGTTCAACAGACAGTGTAAAAAGAGTTGCTGCAGCAATGTGCAGGATGACAAAAATAAGGTGTTTTTAAAAAATTAAACCATGTAAACCTACTGTGGTACAACCCCTAAATAAAATTATGAACCTGAAAATGAGAGCAATATGACCACTTTAACCTTAGATAATGTCAAAAAATCTTAAGGCTGTTTTTCCTTGTTTTGGAAAGGTTGAGATAGTTAAGATACAACAGAGATATGCTCCGACTCTATAATTTTACAGTTTCTGTGTATGCTTAGATAAAATATTATACACACATACACACACACAGTCAGCTTATAACAGAGATTTGTATTTTGCACAAAAAATGTGAGGATTCTCATGCTGGGGTTCAGAGTATTTGGCGGAGGCAATCAAATTTCAAAAAGAGATCAAAGAGATGAATTTTAACTCAGGAGACTCAATAAAAAGTCTGCATTGAGAGAAGAGAAATTTAAAAGAAACCCTTATCTCAAAGTCCTGTAAACCTTGAGTCCAGTGACAGTGATTGATGAAACTGGCCTTTCCAAGCTCACCTTATTAAGGCTTCTTAAAGAATGTAACTTAAAGTTATATATATACTAGATATCGATTTCTGTCATTGCCTGTCGCCAAATGAGGTACTACAATGGTGACTATATATTTGTAGTATTTCAAACTGGGCCACATTCCTGGTACAAATATGTATTAAGTTTCTTCTGTGATCTGTAGTCTTAAACCACACTTGCTGTTACCACCAGTAACTACAGGTGTCACCACATCAACCAGGACTGAAATCTTAAGGATTACATAAACTTTAAAGGCATCGTCACACTGTCCTCAGGTAACAATGTTGTTTAGAGTCAGTGCATAAACACATTTGCTTTATTTCTGCAGCTATTTCATGTGTTTGTGCTGTGCACATGTTAGTCTAGGGGTGACAGCGAGGATTTGTCTGCCACTGTAGCAGGCCAGATTACTCATTGCCCTATCTTGTATCCTCAAGTCTAAACTTCAGCAAACACAGAGCTTATCCTGTCACAGCAGACTCTAAGCATTACTCAGAGTCTATGCCCAACACCTCCCCATACACCAGCTGTTCTCAAATTTTTTCTGTAACTCCCCCTTTTAGAAGCCAAAAAAGGTTCAAGCCCCCCGACTCGAGCGAAAGTGGATTTTATTTTTATCACAAACAACATGGGCGACTGAAATAAAACAAAAGATTCAGCTTAGCAAAAATTTCTTCCTTGCATTTTTTTGTTTATGTCACCACATGTATTACATTAATGCAACTTTAGGTCCGCTCAACATGCACACATTCAGCTACACACACACACACACATACACACAAACATACTCACCGCAACAAGCACACAGTACAGTACAGTATATAATGAAGCAAAGAATGGAGAATCAAACATTTCAGAATAATATTCAGCTCATATGCTTGTGAGCTCTTTTTATCTTTGTCCGCCTTTCCTTCCGTCTCCCCTTCCTCTGCTCCTCTTATGTCACACACACACACACACACACACACACAAATACACGCATACACACAGACACACACAGCTTTCATCATCTTTCCAGATGAGGAACTCTCAAAAGCGAGGTTAGACACAAAGAGGATAAAGGCTCAGGGATCTTTCACAAATTACTCATTAATTCTTGCTCTGAGGTGTATTCATCAGCCTCTGTGGAGGGAAAATAGAGATCAATTCTTATTTTAGAGTTCGGGGGGGGGGGGGGACAAAGGCTATCTCACGTTAATCAGAGAAGAGGGAAAGACAGTGAAGACAGAATAGGAAAGAAAGGCAGCGAATATAAAAGAGAAAAAAGCTGAATAAAAATGAGGTTTGATGGACAGATGGGTGAAGAGGAATAAGACAGAAGAGGAAAAGAAGAAGTGATGAGCAAGTTGAGAAAAGAGGACAGATTGGGGTCAAATGTGAGGAGGAGAGGGAAACATGCATGACTGATATTTGAGCCTTTTGAATTGATCATTTCTAACTTTGCGTGTGTATGTGTGTGTGAGAGAGATTGAAAGAGAGAGTGACAAAGGGAACAACTTAGAAGCAGAGAGGGGAAATGATAAACGACACTTGTATTTTTCACTTTGTGTTCGGGGCAGATGATGCACTGCTCGGTTTAGGTGAAATTAGTAGTCTGCAACACGCATACACACTATTTGCACATAAATGGCACATTTGCTGAAGTTATATTCTTCTTGATAGAAGTAAGTGAGATCATTAGGCTATTGAATGTCAGCAAACGCAGGTGTATGTTTACATACCTTGAAAGTCCAAATGCTACCTAAATATGGTATAGTGTATAGAAAATTCTATTTCCTGTTTTTATCCACGTGTTTTGCCCTCTTTTCACCGCTGTTCGTGTATGAAAAATCAATTTCTGATGTAGCTCTGATCTATAGAGGCTTTTTATCTGGTTAATTCACTGTTACTGTCTCAGCTTTGAATTAGAAATCACATTGCATGATGCCAGAAGGTAAAAATTTCCTGTGGGCTCTTTCACAAGAATTGATTTTTCACACCTGATGCATCGACAATGCTGTCAGTCAAGTGAATGACAAGAAATGTGTGTGTGTGTGATAACTAGGGAGAATGTTTAAATGCCATTCTAATTACAGACCCCTCACCTTTTCCTCAGGTGACGTCTTAATAAACCTCCACTGAGAGCCTCATTAAAGTTATCATGAGAGCCGATAGGCTTAAAGAGGGACAGCTTTATGAGTAATAATGGTATTGCATGCCATGTTAAGTAAGTAAGTACACACGCACACAGACGATCTTGCATTAAATTTTATTCTAAAATAACTGCAATTGAGTTCCCTGAGATGCTTTTCAGCAGCCGGGGCAGTGGGTTAAGGTTAATTTCTAAGCTACAATTGGCTGCTGTACAGTGCTGTCAAGATACAAAAGGTAGCAGCTGTTGCATCGAACGTTAACTATGCTGTGTTCTCCAAAGCCAATCAAACCAAAATCTGTGAGCTTCAACATTTTACTTTGCTGAGCTGTATTAGTTAAGTTGCCAGGCAACAATGCAGTGCAGTGGGTTTGTGCACTGTTTCTGCAAGCCAGTGGATTTTCTTT